TATATATATATATATATATATATATATATATATATATATATATATATATATATATATATATATATATATATATATATATATATATATATATTCACATATGCACAAAGAAGCCCCTCCCAAAAGCACAAAGAAGCCCCTCCCAAAAGTATATATATATATACACACACACATACACACACACACACAAAATGCAAAAATATGGGTCTTAGATGTGTTGGTGTGAGAGAGCAAATATGAGATAGGCTTATCTAAAGTATATATTTACAGAAGGAAATATTCTCATTAACTTAGTTCTGTGACTAAGTTAATGCTTTTGAATTTGTTCTTGGCTGTCGTCTAGCATCTGTTATAAGAAAAGAATGGCTAGATTATTTATGTGGGCACATTCCTAAAATTTTGTCCAGTGCATTCCAACACAGCTAGCCTTGAGTTTTCGCTATGGGAGAGACTATTAGTTTTGATATTTCAGGAGGAATACAAATGGAAGAGAAAATTTGCATAGAATTCAGCTAAACATTTGGAAAAGGGGTACCATTCCTTTATTTCTATTTCCGTTTACATTGTTTACATTGTCTTCTCAGGATATATTTGGCTTTTACAAATTGAGTGGTCTATATTATTTATGTGGTCTGCATTATGTAATCCTTATTTTTAGGCATAGATGGCCATGAGGTGGGATCAAATGACAGAAGGTGTGTTATGACGTCCATGAGGTGTATCCCTTTGATGTCATTGGTATCTAAAGACTATGTACAAGTCTTTGGAACATATAAGAAATCCTGAATTAAAGTGCACATCCATTCATTCAACTGATTTAATGAATGTAAAAGGCAGGAATGGGATTTTTTTTTTAAAAAAATGCATGTTTAACATGTACTGTTTTAGGACTTTACTTAAAATATTTACTGAAAAATGAGCTTTGGTTGTTGAAAGGTGGATGAATTTTTTTTTTAGAACATTCAACTGTTCTTATACTTGCACTTTATGTTCCAGATATCTCTTGTCTACTAATGTATTACAGTGCTTTGCATCCAACTTGTTTATATGAACAAATCTGAACATTAAAAAGCTTTTGGATACATTACAACTTATAATATAAAAATCAATTTTGTTGCATGATTAATTTTATTTCAGGCCAGCCATGTCAAAGAAGGAGGAAGTGCAGGACTTATTCCTAGCCAGTTCTTAGAAGAAAAGAGGAAAGCATTTGTTAGACGGGACTGGGAAAATTCAAGTAAGGAACATAAAAATATAATTTTATTATGTTCTTTCTTCCAAGTTCCATGCATTGTGAATAATGGAATGCATTTAATAGCGTTCATAATTACAAATTAAGAATCAAAATAATTTGCTTTCTTTCTAATTTCTGAATCTTTTCTGCCATCTGCTGGTACTTAGACAAAATTAAATAGGGAGCATTATAACCATAAGTCTAAATAATTTATTATAGCTATATAAACAAATTTAGAAGTTACAAGCAGTTAGGGTGATATGGCTTTCAATGGAGTACCTTAAGACTTTGTTTCAAACTAATATAACAAATCGTAATTTCAGAAATATCTCATTTGTTTTTAGGTCCTTTCTGTGGGACAATAAATAGTAAAAAGAAGAAAAAAATGATGTATCTCACAACTAGAAATGCAGGTTTGTGAACTTCAGCATTACTAGAATACAGAAAAATAATTTAGCAAGAACATTTAGAAAGTTATTTATATTCATTTAGCTTAATAACTACTGTAAAAAAGATATTAAAAATTGGGGGGGGGTCACATGCTGACCACACAACAGCTAATGCGACATACAACCATAATTATGGTCATATATCAAGGATTACTTATATCTTTGGTTCTCTAGTGGCTATATGTACAAATCCAGAAAGTGATTCCAAATCAATTGATCTTTTCTGAGTTTTCCTACATGTAGACAATTTGATATCCCTTGTCACTGTATAAAAAAAATGTATATTTAACTATTTTGCTAATTTATTTTATAATTAAAATTATCTTTGAACTCATGGGTAATTTAGCTTGACATATTTAATATTTAATACTAAAGTGAAATGGGGCACATTAATGATTTATTTTACTACCATATTAAAATAATTTAGGGGCCCTGTGTTCCTGATTATATCTAACTTTCTCAGAAGTAATTGGGAACAAAGGGCTTCTATACAGCACTATTTTTAAAAAAATAAAATAGCAATGCAGTAGTAGAAATCCTACTACAGGAAAACATTTTTACTTCTTTGACAAGGAGTAACTGCAGCTGTTGTATATTACATCATTCATATAATTAGCAATGTTACTCTGTTGATCCTCTATATTCATAGTATATTCATCATTTGAAAACTACTGTATGAAATCAGAGACAGAATCTGAAGGTCCATGGCATATGACCTTTCACCCAGTGCTTTCCCAAAATTATCAAATCATAATTTTAATCTGTCTAATATTAATGTATAATAAGTAATTAATTTTAATTAAGCTTAAATTTACATTAAATCAACTGTAGTGGCCCAATCCTATCAACTTTTTGGAGAGGGCTTTCTACTACGACTTTCAGTGTCCACATTGGATACTGCCCCCTTCCTGAAAATACATATATAGATAAATACATACATACATGTGTGTGTGTGTGTGTGTGTGTGTGTACTATCTACAATGCTGGAAATAATAAAAATGGGTATCACCTTTAAACCTTACATAGCACAGGCTACGTTACCTGCAGCACTGTCTCTCCTTGAAATAATCTATCCTTCCGTACTAAATAGGGTAAGTGCATTGCAGATCCCTTCCCTTAAATGTCACTTAATAAGGGCTTCAGAGGCGCGCATTCCTAGTGGCTGACCCAACCCTTTGGACAGCCTCCCACCTGAGATTCAAGAAATCACAAATTGATTGGGTTGAGAATAACTGTCCCAAAGTCACCCAATGAGCTGTATGGCTTATTGGTGGATTGCAATATGTAGAGTTGTGAAATTTATATAATGTTCACATTGCCTTGATTTTAACATGTTTTTTTACATCTAGAATTTGATCGACATGAAATTCAGATATATGAGGAAGTAGCAAAAATGCCTCCATTTCAAAGAAAAACACTGGTCTTAATAGGAGCCCAAGGAGTTGGCCGAAGAAGTCTGAAAAACAGATTTATTGTACTGAATCCCACAAAATTTGGAACCACAGTACCGTGTAAGTTTTTATAACACTCCGTTTGTTCGTTTATTTTACATAGATTCATTAAACATATTTCTTTGATTCCTGAATTTCTGAATCTCAGGTAGACATTATGAAATAAGGTAGTAGACTATAAGTTAAAATCATCCATCCGCTGCGGGATGAAGGCCTCTTCTGCAGGTTTCCAGCCAATACGTGACGGCATCAGCAAGTATTGCGGGCCCAATTGACAAAAAAAAGCTCAAGACCATATTGGTTGGAAACTACAAGTTAAAATATTACGAATAAATGCATTTGAAATTGTGTAAGTAGTTCATTTTTTCTAATATTTTTCTAATATTCAGATATTGTTTTACATATTTGGCAGTAAAATAGTATCAGCAAACATGGGCAGTTGTGCCTGAAAGCATATTCACCTGGGAATAAGCCCTGTTATAAGTACTTCTGAGCACACTGTGGGATGCATTACATAAGGAATTCTACAGATAGACATTTAAACTATTTGCATGCAAGTTTATTTAAACATTTTAAATGTTGTTTTTTTTTCAAATACAGATGAGAGGGGCAGGAACTGCATGAACTCAAAGTGAAAATAAAAATGCAAATTAAAAAAAGTGCTGCAGACTAAAAGTCTGATTTCTGGAGCTTTCATGTGACCTCTTGCAGCCCCCAATTCTTCTCTCAGGTTTATGCCTCAGGGTTGAAATGTTTCCCGAAACATAGGACTTATTTTGTGAGCCATAACAGGAAACCATTCTTGGATTGAAGAGCCTTTCTACTCGTACAGGATATCTACTGTATTCAGATCCTCATGTCTTTTTCTAAGAAGTTCTTACATAAAAGCACACCTGTCTGTATCTTTTGTGTTTTGTTGTTTTGCTCATGTGTCAATTTATTTAGTTACATCACGGAAACCAAGGGATGATGAGAAAGATGGGCAAGCATACCGCTTTGTGTCACGAAGTGAAATGGAGGCAGATATTAAAGCAGGAAGATATTTAGAACACGGGGAATATGAAGGAAATCTTTATGGTACCAAAATAGATTCTATCATTGAAGTGGTTCAGACTGGAAGAACATGTATCTTGGATGTGAATCCGCAGGTATGCTGGTGTAATATTTTGATATCCAAAGTGTCAATGGAAAAACGTTGCACCTGATCAAATTGGAGAAACTTTTAAGAGTTGGATTTTCTTTAATTACATTAATTTGAGTAGTAAGCAGATTTCACAAGAGGACTAGGCTTTCGTTTTCAACAGGAAGTGGGGACTACATCATGCCTCGAGGTTGCCAATGATGGCCAGAGAGAGCAGCAATGGACTTTTTCCTATTTTAGCATGTTTTAAATGCTATTTTCACAAGGTTTAAGTGCCCATTATGACTCTTAATCTTCCCCAAGACAGTACAAGTGAAAAAAATAATCTTTAAAAAAAATCAGTCTCGTCTACTTGAAGAAATTTGCAAGTTGTGGATTTCCCAGTTGTCTCTAGAGGGGAGCTGGAACTTACATATCTGAAAGAAATTCTCCCATGACTTTACTGTACGTGTAGAATTTTTATTGTTCTTTTGAAATGCAAACTGCATTTCTCTCCCCCCCCCACCTTCTTCTTTGGCCAATATTTGCTACTGCCTCCTATTAGTGGAGATTATAGTTGTAGAAGCAATAGGTGGATAAAAAATAAGCCTCTGTTTCTTTTATTTTTTGAGTTTGACTTCAGGTGACTACATGAAGAAGTCCATGTAATTTGCTTAGCAACCTTGTCAAAAGGGATTCACCATTGTTTTCTATAGCTTAGGAAGGGTGACTTGCCCCAAAGTCACCCAGTTGGCTTCCATGCCAGGACAAGAATATTTTTTTTTCTTCTTAGTCTAGTGCCTTAATCACTAGACCAAACTAGTTCTCTTAATCTTTGGAAAATTAGAGATTTAAAGTTAATTCAGTGGGGAATGGGCAGAAAGCTTCTCTGCTTGGAAACTGTATATCTATAGTGGAAAGTTGGCAAAGAACTCAATTATAATAATTAAAAGGTTGGAGAAGGGAAATTAGTATTAATTTAATCCTGCCCTGCCTTCACTCAGTTTTGGGAGTGGTTTCCCCCAACCTGCCCTTAAATATCCTACAAAATTTGATATGGCTCTGAACCCAAATTAGGATGTGCAAATTATTGGTTTAGTGGAAATCTGCTTTGACAATCCATTCCAAAATGAGACTTTGTTGATGAGGGGGAGGGGTGCCTATCAATCAGTTTTGACTCCTGGTGACTATCTGGACAGGTTCCTGCATTTTTTGGCAAAATTTCAGAAATGGCTTGCCATTGTCTCCTTCACTTTCTTTTTTATCAAGACTTTGCCTGGAATAATTCTTACCTAGTCTTCCTCATATTTTATTTATTTGTTGCATTTTTAATTCTTCAGTATGTTGTGTGGCAAGTCACTTTTTATTTACATTTACTTATTTTGCTTTTTAAAAAATTAATACTGAAATATTTCTAATACTATTTTCACTACTGAAATGTGCACATAAATATTTGATATGTAACTAGAATATGGTAACAGTGACATGATATATAGTGTGTGTTGTTAGATTATAGAAGTATAATAACTAAAGAAAATTCTCTTATCATTAGGTACTAATCATTTTGAGAAATATAAAACTGAATTGAAATATACTGAAATTAGATTTAGAAGTCACTTGTCTGTAATTTTTGAGCAGCTTACAGTTCAAGAAAACAGTACAGAGAAAATTTCTGCCAACCATATTCTGTATCTCACCACCTTTACTACTACTACTACTACTAATATCCTGGGAGAATTGCCATGTTTGTAAGACTTCCAGAACATCATCAGGGCACGTGGATCTCTTGGGGCATGTAATTTAAGAGGCTGAATGCACTGACTCAGAAAGCATGCGTCCTAATAGATGGCCTTGATTGAAAGTACTGAAGCATGTTGTCTATAAATAGTGAGAAATACATGTTGTCCCCTGTGCTATCATGAAAATCTGCATAATGTTAAAGGTGCTTACACTGACACTGCCTATTATCCAAAAAATTGAGTGCATAACTTAATTCTTTTCTTTCCAGGCACTTAAAGTGTTGCGGACATCAGAGTTTATGCCCTATGTAGTTTTTATTGCTGCTCCAGAACTTGAAACCCTGCGTGCAATGCATAAAGCTGTGGTTGATGCAGGAATTACAACCAAGCTTCTAACAGTAAGGGAAATTATCTTTTTTTAAGACTAGTTTGTTTTATCAACATGATTAAAGCTACACCTACTATACGAGGGCAATTCAGAAATAAACCTCCGTTTGGTTATCAATAACAGACACTTGCAGATACGGAACCTTTATTATACACATTAGAAAACTACAACATCACATTACTTTTTGACATAATAGCCATTCAGACACCGGAAGTCAGCATGCCCCGATGCTTCTTATGGATGGCTTGTCTGAGTTTTTGTAACATTTCACAGTAGACTTCTGAATTGATCATCGAACCATACTCCATGAACTTCTCTAGCAGTATTCCTTTAGTATCTTCACATTTGGCGGGATTTTCTATGGCACCACTTCCAGTATGATGTTGGTTCACGATAATGCTTGCCCGCATACCGCTAGATGCGCCCAAGAACTTTTGAAGCAGTTCCATTGGGATGTTTTTGATCACTCCCCCATAGCCCAGATTTGGTGCCAAGTGACTACTACTAAGGAATTTCAAACTTTGTAAGACTTTGTTATTACTTTATTACAAGTGCCTCAATCTGAATGGTGATTATGTCGAAAAGTAATGTAATGTTGTAGTTTTCTGTATAATAGACATTCTGTATCTGCAAGTGTCTGTCATTGAAAACCAAGTGGAGGTTTGTTTCCAAATTGCCCTCATAGTATGGGCCATCTTCAGATTCCTTTCCCTTTTTTGCTTGCTTGGCCATTTGTAGTTCTTGGAGTTTTACTAAACTTTCTAGGCATGCTTGTTGCAGATTTTTATTTCATTCTGTTATAGCTGCCTCATCGGTTCCAGAAAACTTGACAGATTAATAATTTGTTGATAACCTTTATTGTCATTGTTTTACTGTGGGCACACTGACTCATTAAAAATGAAATTGTTTCTTGCTCTCAAAAATGTACACATACATAACACACCTATAAACACGCTATATACAACATAATGTATATACCTACACCCTTACATATAAATGTGAGGCAAAGAATGTCTTTGATTTTAAAATGTATTATGGAGCAAGAAGCTCTTTTAATTCAAATAATATTCCTAATCTAGTTCCTTAACTGAAAAGTGGGACATACCTCTAGGTACTGTAAACATGTATTGTTCTGTTGCTAATAACATGGCTCCTACACTTAAATATATGATGCTGTATTTATTCATTTAAAATTGCCAGAATGGTATGAATTAAAATAGTTTGGATTCAAAATGTGTTAGAATATGGAAATCAGTGGGACTGGTAAAAAGCTAGTAAGGATAATTTCAAATATCAAATATAATTCTGAATATAATTAAATCTAAATTTAGCCTAAAAGGTGTGTGAAGCTCTACATAAAGAAAGTGGAAAATAATTTCATAAGTAAATTATTAGGCAAAATAGCCAGAGAGGTCAGTGTCACAGAAAAGGTGGTCTTTAAGGCACCCTGGTCCTCAGCTGCTAGAGCTTTATAAATAAATACCTGCATATTAAAATGGACCAGAAAAATGTTCATTGACCATGTTCATGTGGTTAATATGGTCCATACAACTTGATCTAGCACAAAATATAGCTGTTTTGTTATTAATTAAAATACTTGAAAACTTTTCTGATGAAATCCAGTATTGTAATAAACTAATATTGAAACATTTCTAAAGTAAGATTTCAAAGTATACAAATTATGTGCATGTTTAAAGAGTTGTACATAACTATAAAAATCCCAAGAGCTAGAGTGCAACCTAATTAAAAACATCTGTACCTAAATAGCTGAAAATTTGCATTTTCAGATTCCTGTATCATATTTTTAGGAATTAAATTTTACACATTTTTCTAAAAAACTGGTCTTGCTGATCTCGAAGATTTTTTTTTAATGCAGGCTCTCAGTTTTAAATCTGACCCCCGTCGCTTGCTTTTTATAGTATTATTTTATTTTTATTTTGTCAATATTTTAATAGGATACTGATTTGAAGAAAACTGTTGATGAAAGTGCACGGATCCAGAGAGCTTATAGTCACTACTTTGATCTGATTATTGTGAATGACAACCTAGACAAAGCTTTTGAGAAGTTGCAAACTGCTACAGAGAAATTGAGGATGGAATCACAGTGGGTCCCGATTAGCTGGGTATACTGACAGTTCTTTTGAAGATGAAACAAACATCATATTATGTTAGTTGAAACAAACACTAATAAGAAAATATTGTACAGTGGTGCCAGATACTTGGCAGGACCCAATATGTTTTTATTTTATGTATATTAAAATAATAGTATGCTAGTTAAATTTTTTATACAAAATGTTGAAGGGAAAGTGTACTTAATATGTAATTTATTTTAATTTTTCTAACTTTTTACAAATAACCTTTTTATTCATATCACATGAAGGAAATGCGTTGAAGCATTTTTATAAATGTTTTGATTTACTATTTTGCCTTTATTCATCTAAAGAATTTTCCAGTCATTCATTTATACATTTGATCTTACATTTTCACTGTGATAAGGAGACAAATACTTGAAAAGGTTTTTGTAAAACTCTGTTTTAAATCAAATGTTTCATCTGATTAGTTTTTATTATTTAGATATATTCTTGTCCTAATAAGCATACATCCTTGACATAAGCAAAACTTTCAATAAAACAACCAGCACTGAGCCATGTTACTCAAACATATTTGCTTAATGTTTATCCATGTTTTCCAGCTGTTTTGTCTTAGGCAGATGTACTGTAGACTTTTATGTAGATTCCCTTTTTACATAGATGTAAAAGCAATATCTTAAACTTTCCCTAAGAGTCCATTTTAAAAAGCCAACATTTCAACTCATTCAGTAAGTATTTTTCAAAGAATTTTCATAATGTAAATTCATTGTGTTTGAGGTAATGGTGAAGTAGCCTTAAAGAACCTCATGCTACAGAATCTTAGTAAAGAACTCAACATGTAGAATATATGTTCTTAGTTGTGGAAAACTCATGGCTTAGAGGAACAAAATCTGCTTTTTATTATGACCTCGCTCTGTACTTGTATAGTGTTCTATGACTGGCTTTTAGTTTATACCAGAGTATTTATGAGTGATTGTGTGTTATAAAATGTAATGTGATGGGGCTTTGAGCTGATACTTTGTGTTACATGGCTTTATTCACCAAAAGTGTGTGAAACTAAAATTATTGTCAGATGCTAAAATTCAGTATTATTTATCAAAGAATTTATTTTTGTTTCACACTCATATTTTACAGTGTTAGTTAATAACTTCCTTTAGTTAGTTCATTATCTTAGGTTCATATTTACTGATTTACTGATAAATACATTTCCAATACATATTCTATTGAGAGGATGTAGATATGGATGATTACTAAGAGGGAATAATCTGATGATAATATTTGATATTATGCCTGCTATTATAAATAGAGCCATCCATTGCTAACATACAGAGGGCCTGAGGTGGTTATCATCTCCCCATTTCATTTATTTTGCATATGAGTTTGGGCACTACGATTACAGAGCTTATTTTCAATACCAAAGTATCATACACAAGATGCCAACAATGAAAAAATATTGGAAAAGGCCAAGACAGTATAAACTAGCTTTTAATTATTTTGGCTTTTAAGATGCACAAGGAAACAGGGTTTCAATAGTTTTTAGTTTATATAGAGAAATGTTGACACCAAAAAGGTATTGTAGATTAAAAAACCTTTGTGGTATTTTTTTAAAGACTTAAAGCATATTTTGTAAAAGTTATGCAAATAATTGCATATCTGTGTCTTAATTGCTATTGGTATTTAGAAATTAGCTTCTAACAATATGAAATAGAGAAATTTATTTCTGTTGCATTAATTCTGTAGATAGGCTGATATTAAGTATTTAAAAAAATATGTATACCTGAGTCTGGAAAAAAAAATTGCCGGTACCCAAAATGACATTTTATTCTGTAATTTCAATGTCATTGCAGGGGTATGATGTGGGTTACAGTGTAAAAATGACTATACGTTTATTGAATATAATGTTGTTTGAATGGAGATTGAGTGGAAGACATTGCTGAATTCTCAAGTCAAATAATTGCTTCTCATTCCTCTGTTTTCTAATACTAAATTAGATAGCATTCCAGTTTGTTTGTTGCTACTGCTCTTTGCTAGATGAGAGTTTGGGCTGCATTTTAAATAGCCTTGATTAAAGTTCTGTTCAGATTCTACCTGAACTGTTTTTTAAAAAATAAAATGTTCTCAAGCAGGATACTCAGTCTAATTCCCATCTTGTTTTGTTTCTAGCCATTGATTTGTATTATCCACTTTGGTTGGAAAGCAGGTTTTTCAAATTGGGCTTAGTTCAAGGAAAGTTTAGCAAGTGATTAAAGGAGTTTGATTTTGGTTTTAAGGCTCAGAAGCTCACTGCTGTCAAACAGGAAGAAGAAAAACAGAACATCAGTATTTGCCTTAATGGCTTTCTAAAGAAATTGTTAACAGTCGGGAACTGGTCCAGAAATATTTTATATTTTCTCTGGGCATGCTGGTACTCCTATATCATCTTGGGAGAACTGCTCATATCACAGAATTCACTCTTGGATTAGTGTGGAAATTTAAACCACAAGCCCTGAATGTAACAGGAAAAGTTAGTTCACTACATGCATAAGAATTACTGCATTTGATATAAACTATAGTACACCTCTATTCTCAGTGGCAGAATATCATGATAAGGGCCATTCACTGTTTTTGCTGCATGGGTGTAATCCCAGCTATGAAGAAATTAAAACTTTGAATACAGAAATCCATGAATTTATCCTCCCACTGAATGGCAGCAATTGAGAAGTATGCAACAGGCAAAATGCTTCCAAGGACAGTACCATGATGCTACAATTGGTAAATGAGGTACAGAATGGATTAATTGGGAAGGTGTAAATCAGAGGCAGAACATTTTAAGTGTCCTAATTTCAGTTCTTGGCATCTTTGTCTGAAACTGAGTTACTGTCCATTCAGTTCAATATAAAAATGGAAAAAGTGTCTATACTTAACATGAGTACATGAAATGGAAAGACAATATTGCTTGCTGACATTAGGGTACATAATTATCTGTACCAAAGTAAATATATATTGAAATATGTTAATTGTATAGGCATGCCTGTGTAATAATAGTAGAAAACAATGGTTTATGCAATTGCCTATACTAGATGTTAACATGGATTAGTAAATACTGTTCATTATTCTATTCTATAATTTTAACAAAAATTATGGAATGGAAAAAAAATCAATAAAAGTGCATGGCAGTTATTAAAACATTACTTACCTATTAAGGCAATCCATAATTGTATCTGTTGAAGCTTTTTTTAAAAATAATAATTTCCATAAATTTATATAGTTTATACATTATGCATAAACTACAATAGGTCATATTGAATTCATGGGAACTATTAAGTTCATGGAATATATAATTGTTATATATTTATTTAAACTTTTCATTTATCTTAAATTTATAATAAAATGCAGAATATTTTAATCATGCTGAGTCCGACAAAAATCAAAGCTCATTTTAGTTTTTAATATAAATGCCTATTTCTATTTAGCCAGTAACTTGATCTTCAAACAGTGAAGCTGCTATTGTTTTAAACTATTTTTGGCCTTCAACATTTGTAAATACAAATGTAACAACCAATTTAGTGTCAGAAACAGTTGTCATAATAAAGGAAAATTATAAAAAGAACTTTGAATAAGAGCTAAAAAAGAGAGACATTTTAAATCAGGGACTTCCAACCTCGAGGCTGCAGTCCACTACTAGGTCACGGCCCATTCAGAATTGAGCTGTAGAAGCGGCAGGTGAGCACATGTGCGTGTTCAGCTCCACTTGTGCGCGCAGCAGGCAGACAAGCACGCATGCACAGCTCCATTGTGCAAGTAGCAGACGGATGTGCCCGTTGTGTGCACAAATGGAGCTGCTTGCTTGCCCGCTGCTCGCATGGCACCATCCTTTCTCCCCTCCCCGCCAGTCCACAAAACTGGCAAGCCTGGAGACCACTGTTTTAAATAACAGTTCATGCTGGTGCCTGAGAAAAAACTCTTATCTCTCTATTCAACCTACTAGTGTCACAGATAAGCAGCGAGTTTAAAATAATTATGTACAAAATATTTGAGTAATTTTTTTGTAGTTAAGAGATTTTGAAAAAAAATGCTCAAAAATAATAGCAATAATTTAACTGCTACCACAAAGTCTGGTAAATCCTATCAATAACAATAAGATCTCAAGTTTTGGATTCCTAAAAACGATGAGATATTGTTTTAGCATTTTGTGGAATCAGCAGCAACGGCTGTTTTTGAGAATGATGCAGAATTTTGAAGGCAAATTGTCGTGTTCAAATCTGTATACGATACCGATAGAATGGATTGCGGTTAGGTATGCATGTTTGGAATAAAAATGTGTAAAATGCAGACTTTTTTGAAATATTTGTCTGAAATTCATTTAATTTCAAATCCTGAGTAATTTTTTTATCTACTCAGAATCAAATATAGTCCGCATCAACTGCACATTATTATTATTTTGCTTCATTTTGTCTTGGTTCAATTGTCAGGAGTTCCCATAACAAATCTTAGAAACATTCAGAGAAAACAAAGCAATCCTTAAACTCTTCTCAAAAACTGCTTTCATCATGTCACATTGAAATATTTTTGTTCCTGATGTAACCTGCTTTGGATTAGTTTTCCAACTAAAGTTCAATGTGACTGGAACTATGTATTGGATGATCCTTTATCTACAGTATAGAAATGGCAACTTCCATGAGAAAAAAAATCAAAACTCCAGGCAACAAACTGATGAGATTCAAAATGACTCTTGCATATTAATTTCATTACATGGTATAAGTCCTCAACTTGCGACCAGTTGCTTAGCAACAAAAGTTACAATACCCCCACACACACACAAAAGTACTTATTGGCTGGATTTGAAGTTCTGATGACCCCCCGAACAGTCACATGATCACACTTTAGATAACAATTGTTCCATAAATATGCATTTGCCATGTGACAACAATTGACATTTTTTGCTGGGAACTGGTGTTTACTTCTGGCTTCCAGGAAAAAACCATCCATTATGGACAATGGGTTAACAACCACTGGTAAAAAGGTCATAAAACTGGACGTGGACCAGTGATTGCGCGCTTAAAATCCAGCATGATTAACAATGGTAATTCCAGGTTCAATTATGATGGCAAGTTGAGGAGTGCCTGTATTTTAAAAGTGTAGATTGCTCATTTATCTTATTTCTTTAAACCTCTTTGCCTTCTATGAGCTTTCTTGGCAGAAATGAATCACTTTGAGGCTTCTTGCTGCTAAAACAATTGTCCACTGACCAAGTATGATAGCTGAGAATCATGTCCAGTCATGTTAGTTGTGCCCTTCCAATATGAGGGTAAGAGAAATAGCTGATTAAGGGTTAAGGTGCATATATGGTAGTTATACTTTTTTTAAAAATGCAATGTGTTAGTAGAGAAAGAGTGTTTTAATTTGGAAACTGTATTAAAATAATATATCTTGTATGCACTGACATACCGCTTCTTTGAATGCATGAATGTGTATTCTGTCGAGATCTACATTTTTTTGAGAATTGTTATTTGGGGGCTATTTTGTATTTCTAAAATTAGATTATAGAAAATCATCATTAGTTACATTCCAAAATAATGAATTCTATTAGGCTTATGCAGTATAATTTTTATTGCTTCGACTTTTAACATTTCTATTAAACAGTTGATAACTTTTTTCAAACGTGTACTAATATTGACACACATAGGACAATAGAAGATTTAAATGGGGCTTAACTAACAGCAAATTTTAATGTCTTTCCATGCTGTAAATCAGAAGAAAATTGCCACATAGATCAGATTAGAAAATTCTGAAAAAGGATCATAAGAAAAGTGGGGAAATTTCATAGGACAAATGTGTGCTGTTCAGATAAACAATGTTTTTTAAAGAAATTTCCCTAATGTTTCCCCATTTAAGTTGTATACCATTGTTGAAATGTATAAAACTGTGAAATCCTTAAAACGCCTAAGAAAGTTATTTTTGTATATATGAAATAAAATTTAAGATTTGAAAATTTAGTGTGATCTCTTATGAAATACATTCTCACGGCACAGAGCTGGAATCAGAAAGGGAAGCTGGAAAGAGGCAATATAGTAGGCCTTGCAATAGATGTTATGATTTTATATTGAATGATTAAAAAACTTTACCAATATGAAAGAATAACAAGTCATATTTTTGCACTGCATATGCATAATTAAAACAATGAAAAACTCACTATCATTCTGAGAATACCTTATAATAGCATTTAATAAGTGCTATGAATATAATATCCAAAAATCTATAATTTTCATTGGTTTGAGGCCATATAGCTTTGCTAACATTGAACAGATTGGATGAAACTGAATGAGTTTTATATACCATTGTGAATACCTAAAAAACTTAAGACTACATTTTGCTTAACATATCTCCCCCCCTCCCCCCAATCCGAACGGACAGCTCTGGGACCTGCAGTTTTGGTACACTTCACATTAATCAAGTAGAATTAAAAAAAAGCCTTTTTAAGAAGAGAGATTAAAAATATGGCCGCTAAAATGTATGCTGATGTTCCCAGCTTCTCTGCCATACCATAAAAAAAAAACATTTGGAAACTTGCCATATCCTTTGTGATCTTTGGCTCAAATCTAAATAATGGCTCCAAAGTCAAGCCCAACATTTCAGATCATGCTTTAAATTTATTCCTGTGCTGCTTAGGTTTTTAACTTTGATTGCTTAAATGGCCCTTTTAACTATTTTTCTGTTTCATGATGGTCTTTGCTCTGAAAACTCTCTGTTGCCACATAATGATGTTCAATTAGAATATCCTCTAGTTTATAAAGAAAACAAGATTAATATTAAAACACAATAACTAATATACGTAACCCCTTAACAGCTCTAATTGAGACTGAAAACTCCAGTGCTAAATGAAGTGGTTGCTAAGTGGACCTTGCTGTCTTGTGTGCATCAAAAGCAATGCAACTGTGTTACAATCTAGGACTGGAGCCATTCTCTTGAAATCCCTTTCTCTCCAATCCTTCCATTCAGATGGAAGTGGGGGGGAGAAAAAAATGTAATTTCTGCAGGCAATCTCTTCTTTGCCTGATTCTTCCCTGCTGCCAGTGCTATCACAATGCTTGCTTTTGATATGTAGAACAGCAAAAGGCTTGCTTTGTTGAAATCTTTCTCCCCAATCTCTATGGGGGAGGGGGGGGCTGTGAAAGGGGAAAAAAGACAGTACATACTGACTAATGAAATTCATATGGCTGAGGGATGCTGTGAAGGTAGTGAATGGCAGTAAATGAGCCATAAAATTACTTTTTTCAGCACTGTTATAACTTTGAATGGTTGTTGAATAAATGGCTGAAAAGTAAGGACATGTAATCTTTCTAAACTTTAAAGTAATACAGGAATGTTAAACATCTCACCAAGTATCCCTGCATGGCTTTTTTATATTTGGATCTTTTCATTCATATAAGTAATTTAGGCATTCGCCTTGCTCCAATAACGCAGCCCATTGGCACATATTTCAATTGCATGGACGCAAATCTAGTGGGTTCATCACTAAGAGGCATTAAACGGAGACAGTTGTAGTATTAAACTATTCAAACAGCTTCATCATATGTCTTTTTCATAGCCTAATGCATGGAGGCCATTCAATGCTATATATAAAACAATTGGGGGAAAATGGGATTTTTTCATGGTTGCAGCTTTGATGGAAGAGTCTGTCATTTCAAGGTTAATGTTTGATAAAGCAAATAGCCTCTGTGCTATCCGAAACCTTCCTGGGTCAGCAAGTGGAGCCAGTATGGGATCTGCAAGTGTCAATGTACCATCTTCTGAGGTCATATTAGGCTGCTCAGAGACAGAAAGGCATTGATTAAAAGCATTTCCACAATAGTACAATTTTTCAATACTGAAGTACATTACATTATATAATCCAATTTATTGTGAAAAGGAACAGTATATATATATATATATCGTTACATAGGTGTGCATCTGCATGTTTGAGGGCTGGACAAATCCTGATTCAGATTTGGGAACTGAAGAGGCATAATTTGAGAACAGATTCAAATGAACCTGTTTTGTGGTTCCATTTAGCGGAAATGCTCATAGGTTATCTAAATGCCTCTAGGTTATTCATTTTTTTGCAGCATGATATGAAATGGAATGTAGAACTCCTAGAGAACAATCCTGCCAAGGTTCAGCTAGGTATCTCTAAGGGTTTCATCATAATGGCTTTTGAAATAGAGGAAAGAACAGTCCCTCAGTCTCCAAATTGTCTAGCAAAAAGCCTAGTATCTCAACTAGTATCTCTAGTAAAGTACTGAAGCAATGCTAAAAATGTCCAGGATCTTTAAAATGTTCATAAACAGCTAGTAAAGCAAGTACTTATTTTTTTGTGTTGCTTTCTGTGAGCGTCCAGGCTTGGTATGATAATGATACTGAGAAATGACCACAGATCTATCTTTGTGATGTTTCCTGCCTCTGATTGCCAAGTTCTCTGGGGTGCCAGGAAGATTGGCACTACTAGTTGACAAGCTTGGTTCCCTCCTAATAGGGCCCCATTATCAGTGTTACAGTTCACTCTGAATGAGCTGGCAATTCTCCATGTTGTTAGAGATTATCTAATACAGTGAGACCCAATGCCACAGAATAGTATGGTACACAGAAAAATACATTTATAAACCCTGTTCTAAAAAACACTAAATGTTTCAGTGAACCAGGCATCATTTAATCATTACTGAGAAGTCAAAGTCTGTAACAACTATATCAATTTTAAGTATCAGTGTTGATTAAAATCTGTGTTAGTCGCACAATGGGATAAATAGGATAGCACCAATTGGCTACTTAGATCATTGACAGAGAGACCATTCATTGCACCTCATATCTCAGCACACTACTGTTTTTTATCTGTAGCATCCCAGAAGTAATAAAAAAAGTCACTCTATCTATGTAGCACTTTGAAACATTGCACAGCGCTTTGAATCAGATCATTGCTCAGCTGGCCCTTTTGCTTCAAGGGGGTAATTTTTATCAAACTTTCACTTCTGCACTGCTGTGAAATAGGCAGGGTACTGAAACTTTTCTATTTTATAGTCATTTTGATGATGAATATTGAGGATGTATTAACATAAACTTATGAAAATAAAGACCTATTAAAATGAATTCATACTTCAAAAAAGCTGATAACCGCACAAGAGCATAATTATAGCAAAACCATCCATTACCAATAACACATTAAAATGGGCAAGCAAAAGCAGAAATAACCCATTCATGCTTCCAAAAGATGATACAAAAACTTATCTATATCGAACTGTTGCTGAACATATTTTTATCAATAGTCAGCATGTAAGATGTTGTCATGCATGTTTCTCCCCCTCCTTTATTGTTTTCCCATGTATTTCAAAGGGAGTGGTAGATAAATAACAGCAGGAACTAAAGGACTACATTTGAAGGGAAAATATATATATGTTTAAAATGAGCAGATTATGAAGTCTAGTAAATTTGTGCAGGTGATAGCAACAAATGAATAAAAATGTAGTTGCAATAAATACTTGTATTAAATGATTGTTAATTCCTACTGTCTTATTTAATTGAATATTCTGTATTATAGTTCTGTATTATAGGTTGTATTCTGTAGGTCTTATTAAGCTTTATTTAATCTGAATCACTGACTTGTAGTAATAAAGAATTTGAATTTGAAAAAAAATCTATGTCATTTGAAAAAGGTGTATTTTTTAGTGTAAGAAACAGACTAAATGTTGACTGTTGTTTTTCAGGCATCAGATTATTATTTGAAGTACTGTAATTATGACAAGATATAAAATCAGTGATTGCTTTTTATTCAGTGTTGTACTGATTTTTCTTATCTTTCCTGCTGTAAATTGCCTTAGGAACCTGTTGTTGAAGGATAATGTGTATGACATTAAAATACTATTTCCATTTAGTGTTAGCTAATTTCTTAAACTGAATGGAATATATATTCCAAAAGGGCTAGAAGTGATATTGCCATGAATAAATACCACTAGGAACCAGCTGCTAGAATCTATGCTCTTGTTGCTACTTTTAACACATTTCCAACTTAAATTGACAGGACTTACCAAGCAATACAGTGTACGGACAAGCTGGAGGTCACAGCAGGCTAGCAGCAGCACTAGGGAATAACTTGACAGTTCTGAAGAAAGGAAATAAAGATTAAAAAACAAAAACTTTTAAAATATATAAAAGAAATATTCCTGCTGAGTCATGGACCTCTGAAAACTTTACTGAATAAACTCAAGAAAGTAGGGCAGTCCACATAGTCCAAGTCCACATAGGATCTAGAATATACCAATACAGAACAATTGTTGTTCTTAAAAGAGAATGTCTTGAGAATCTGTATTGCCATGCTGAAAAGTTTGGTGAACCACACAATTGAATCTTGTCTTTAAATTGCTTTTGTTCAGACAATCTACAATTCATTCTTGCATTTAAAAGGTTTGACAAGTGAAAACAAGTTTTCACTAGTGAAAAACAAGTATATGATGAAGACTCCAAGAAGAAGAGGGTAACAGAGGATCAAAAACAGGACCTTCAGATATCTTTAAGGAAAAATTAGAAAAATAATTTTTCTCCCCCAATACTGAATGATTCTGTAAGAGCACCATTGGTTGAGCAATAAGGTAGGCAGGCAAAAGAAACAGTGGAAGAAACTTAATGCATGATAGGATCAAGACAAAAATGTAATCAACCATATCAAAGGGAAAAATATGAAATAAAAAAATCCCTGTTTAATTTAGCAACAAAAACAATCTGAGATTATAAAAATTGTGGTTTCATTTCAAAGAGCTTTATGGGTCCCATCTGACCTGTCACAAGAAGATCAATACTTCAACATAGACAAAGAATTTTCCCCAAAAAACCTCCATGACATCGAAGACTGATTAGAGCAATGATTCACAAACAGTAGTATAAAGACTGGGGCTCTAAGTAAAGTAAATCATTGCAATGTTAAGTCTGTGGTGTTAAGTCTTCGAAGACCTAGGTGACAAATATAATAACAATCTTTGCAAATATATCAATGTCATTCTTGGAAAAAGTAAGGGTTTCTATAATGGTGGGACTTAAGTTCTTTGATAAGGGTGATTAGTTCTAAGACTCTAGCAAAAGATCCAAGCATATAGTCTACTTTATCACTCAATCAGGAGTCAGTGATCTGAACAGAGAGTGAAGAAATGATAAAGACGATCTTAATAAGACATAAATTAAATACTAAGCATATGTAAAGTAGGATGAGTCACAAAGATATCTAGCGAATGTAATGTAAAATGTAAAAAATATTAATTTTGTTTAACAGCCCTTTTGTTTAGAGATACTGAGTTTCAAATGACAATGACCCGAAACTTGTTCACCTGAGATTATTAAAAATAATATTTAATTAATAAGTAGGCATTTCTACTCAGCATTCTTTTCCTAGTTCAATTTCTTTCTAAATTATTAGTTTTAAGACAAACTCCGAAACACTGACGTGAAAGCTTGAACACTTTTTGTTTTTTTCTTAGCAGTAATAAATAAACTTGGCACACAAGGCAAATAATATAAACCATGTGAATCCAAATGAGAAAGCCATCATTCCAAGGCAGTTGAGGTTAAATAATTCCTATGTAGAAGCTAGGAAAATAACCTTGAAGCAAATTTTTGGAAACCCTTGTGTAAATACTGTGAAGAGGACAGAAACATTCCTTAAGTCTGTGGAAATATCAGAAAGACACTCGGAATGACTCCTCCCTGATTCGCAAGAGGCATAAGAGGAATGGGAGAAGCAGTCAGACTTAACAAGATTTTGTTATAGCTTATGTCAATAAAGTATAATTCTGGCCTTCCTGTGGAGTGTGTTTCCTAATCAGGTCTACGTTGAAGGGTTGACATCCAAGCACCCTGCATTTAGTTCTGCATTCCTTTATGCTTTATGCATCAAGGATTTCCTCTACATTCACAAACTGAATTTACAAAGTATTTTTCCCTCTGCACACATGATACAATCAATCTGAAACAGCAAACCCTACCTGCTCTGAACAAAAATTAACTTTAGAAGAAAACCACTTATTTATTTTTTTGTACCTGCCAATGCACTGAGGAAGAAATGAGCAGCTAGGAAAAGCTCCTTATTGTGAATCTGCTGTTTGCTCTGTAATTGTACACCCACAAGCTGCAGAAATTCTTCTAAACATGGTTTCTCTGGTGACTTTAATTCCTCCATTGCTATGATGCCTGAACTCCCCTCAGAATATATACTGTCCAGCTGCAAAAACAAAATAAAAAGGAAACAGACACAGTGGGCAGATTTAATCATATTCAGATTAAAATTAATCAGACCAAGTTTGACTTCTGATTGCCTTGACACATCTATTATGTTTCTCTGACAACAATATGGAAATGGCTTTTTACTGCATTTTTAAAAAAAAACTTGTACCTTGAAGCCTTGGAAATTATTGAGAATTTCCTATCCAAATGTTAAGCAATGTTAAGCAACTCTGTTTAACTTGTTCTGAGACCATCCAAGGTTGGGTAGGTGATGCTACTTGCTGTGATCCAGAAAATAATGATACTCAAATCAGTCAAGACCAATAAAAATTCCACTGATTTCATATTATGTGAAAACCTGACTCCTTTAAGCATTAACTCTATAATGTTGGGAAGTGTGGAAAAAAGAAAAACAGGATCACTAACAGGAAGGTGGACGCCTTCAGATATAACAGTAATGTAATACTGAAGGATCAGATTGAAGATAGATTATCATGAAGACAATCCATCTATTAATCCCCAAGATAACACTGATTTATAGCTATCATAATAATTATAAATATTAATTAGAAACATACAGATTATTACAGCAATGAGAACTGTTTTCCTTTCTTTATAAAGAACAAGCTTTAAAAAATAAGAAAAATTGCATGTATGATTAGGAAATAAAATTTACCACATTTTCTAGTTGCATCACTGTTTCTTCATGAAGCAAAAGGTCACAAACCATTTTGTATAAAGCTCTCTGCTTTTCTTCTGATAGATTCATAAAAGGTTGGAATTGGGTCTTTAATTGGAGGATATCTGAAAACATATTATGCATGCATATGTAATCATTAAATAGAATTAAGTTGGAGAAGCTATTCCTAACAATTCTGAATGCAACATACATTCATTTCATTTAAAAGATTGTGTGTGTGTGTGTTTCTGTGTGTGCATACTGGAAGTATAAGGCATCATATGCATTAGCATTTTTATGGAGGGATTTTTTTTTTACAAAACTGACCATTTTTATCCTGACTCAAATTTTGAAAATTCATCCTATGATTTCACCGAAGAGAAAATTTGTGTATACATAGTGTTAACAGAGAAAATTAGAATTCAAATGAAATACATTTCTGTAATAGTCTGATGTGCTAGGTTCCTGCTTCATGCAAAGATGTAAAATGGCTTTGTCATATCACATGAACCCAATCAATCTTGATTTAGTCAGTAAACCATTGTTAACAGACTATAATTTAGCGTATGATACAGTTCGTTATTTCTTCTCCACCCTCTTGAGGCATGCCTACACTCCCTAGCCTTGGACTCCATCCACTTAATAATTGCAATAAGCAGTGCTGGGATTGTGGCTGTTGGGTGAGGGTTATTGAGATATCATGTGACATCTCGCTTAATGGACAAACAAGTTTGTGATCCCAATTATAAGTCGAGTCCTTGTCTGTCTTGAAGCAATTAATTAAAAAAAACTGCACTTTCATCAGTTGTAAACATTATTATTTGGAATAGTCTGCAATATGTAAAATCACTAGAAAGTGGTCTATAACAGGGCTTTTCAATCCTTTCACTGATTGTACCACTTTTAGGATACGGCAGGGCTTTTTTTCAGCCGGAACGCGGCGGAACCGCGTTCCGGCACCTTTTTCCGGGCCGGCCGCACCGGAAATAGCCCCTCCCAAATTTTACTTGCATTCCTGTTCTCTAAAGGGGCGGTCCTAGGGTTTGATGAGGGCGTGGCCAGGTTTGAGTTCCGCCACCTTTTCTCCGAGAAAAAAAGCCCTGGGATACGGCAATATCCGAATACCACCAGTCGCCTAGCAAGGTGCTTGACCAAAAGAAAAAAAAGATAAAGTACAGGTAGTCCTCGACTTACAACAGTTCACTTAGTGACTGTTTGAAGTTACAACAGCACTGAAAAAAGTGACTTATGACCATTTTTCACATTTATGACCGTTTCAGCATTCCCAGGGTCATGTGATTTACATTCGGATGCTTGGCAACTGATTCATATTTATGATGGCTGCAGTGTCTCAAGGTCATGTGATCCCCTTTTGCAACCTTTTAACAAGCAAAGTCAATGGGGAAACCAGATTCACTTAAAAACCTTTTATATCAGGGGTGTCAAACTCAATTTCATTGAGGGCCGCATTAGCACTGTGGTTACCTTCAGGGGAGGTCCTTTCTTTTTCCCTCCCGCCCTGCCTCCCTCCTTCTCATTTCCATCTCCTTCCTTCCTTCCTTCCTTCCTTCCTTCCTTCCTTCCTTCCTTCCTTCCTTCCTTCCTTCCTTCCTTTCCACGCCGAACTTGGCTCTTCTGCTGAGCCCTGACAGCTGATCGGCGCTTCTGGTAGGGTATCAGGGCTCAGCAGAAGCACCAGGATCAGTGCCGCTCCAGCTCATTGGTGATTCTGCAGGACTCAACAGAAGCGCCAGGATCAGCTGGAGCCCGGCACCGATCCTGGTGCTTCTGCTGAGCCCCAAAGAAGCGCCGATGAGCTGGATCTTGGCGCTGATCCTGGCGCTTTTGCTGAGCCCTGACAGCCTTGCAGTTTCAGCCATCTCTCGCTCAGACTTGTTCGGTGCTGCTGTTGCTTCAGCTCATTTTCCTCCCCCGCTACTACTTCTCTAGGACGGTCACGTACCATCTGCCAATGTACCACCAGTGGTATGAGAACCACTGGTTGAAAAGGCCTGGTCTATAATATATCATGGAAAAGAAAAGTTATCTTAAGAAAATATATGAAATTTAGTACTCTAGAAATAAGCATTGTGCTTTAAAATGCACTGCCAACATGTTTTCATGTCTATAAGTTAAAGGATTCATATAAATGTATAACTCCTTATTAAATAAATATAAAATTAAACCCTGTTTTATTGGGGGTTTTTGTTTAGTACAAAATTCAACAAATGCTTTGGAATTTACCGTCTTGTTTTGTGTATTTCTCTAGTCACATCATTTAAGTGCTAAAAATAGCTTCATAAAGAATCATTATCTTGTTTTAGAATAAAGAATGTATCTTTTGCTACAGAAGGATAAGTTGTTGTTTTTTTAGACTAAGAAGTTGATACTAGTTTTGACTTGGTCTGAGCCTTCCAACTGAGCAAATGGGTAGAGTTTTCTAATACGGTAGGAATTATTATTTCTTTCTATTCATCCAAATGAACACTCTCCCCTTTTTCCCTCACTACTATTACAGTGAGAGGAAAAATTATTTGATTCCCCTGCTGATTTTGTACGTTTGCCCACTGACAAATAAATGATCAGTCTATAATTTTAATGGTAGGTTTATTTTAACAGTGAGAGACAGAATAGCAACAAAAACACCAGAAAAACGCATTTCAAAAAAATTATAAATTGATTTGCATTTTAATGAGTGAAATAAGTATTTGACCACTTCACAAAACATGACTTAGTACTTGGTGGCAAAACCCTTGTTGGCAATCACAGAGGTCAGATGTTTCTTGTATTGTAGCTGGCCACCAGGTTTGCACACATCTCAGGAGGGATTTTGTCCCACTCCTCTTTGCAGGTCCTCTCCAAGTCATTAAGGTTTTGAGGCTGATGTTTGGCAGCTCGAACCTTCAGCTCCCTCCATAGATTTTCTATAGCATTAAGGTCTGGAGATTGGCTAGGCCACTCCAGGACCTTAATGTGCTTCTTCTTAAACCACTCCTTTGTTGCCTTGGCCATGTATTTTGGGTCATTGTCATGCTGGAATACCCATCCATGGCCCATTTTCAATGCCCTGACTGAGGGGGTTCTCATTCAAGATTTTACAGTACATGGCCCCATCCATCGTCCCTTTGATACAGTGAAGTTGTCCTGTCTCCTTAGTAGAAAAACACCTCCAAAGCATAATATTTCCACCTCCATGTTTGATGGTGGGGATGGTGTTCTTGGGGTCATAGGCAGTATTCCTCCTCCTCCAAACATAGTGAGTTGAGTTGATGCCAAAGAACTCGATTTTGGTCTCATCTGACCATAACACTTTCACCCAGTTCTCTTCTGAATCATTCAGATGTTCATTGGCAAACTTCAGACAGGCCTGTACATGTGCTTTCTTGAGCAGGGGGACCTTGCGGGCACTGCAGGATTTCAGTCCTTCATGGTGTAATGTGTTACCAATTGTTTTCTTGGTGACTATGGTCACAGCTGCCTTGAGATCATTGACAAGATCCTCCCATGTAGTTCTGGGCTGATTCCTCACTGTTCTCATGATCATTAAAACTCCATGAGGTGAGATCTTACATGGATCCCCAGGGAGATTGACAGTTATTTTGTTATTTTGTATTTCTTCCATTTGCAAATAATCGCACCAACAGTTGTCACTTTCTCACCAAGCTGCTTGGCAATAGTCTTGTAGCTCATTCCAGCCTTGTGTAGGTCTACAATCTTGTCCCTGACATCCTTGGACAGCTCTTTGGTCTTGGCCATGGTGGAGAGTTTGGAATCTGATTGATTGATTGCTTCTGTGGACAGGTGTTTTTTATATAGGTAACAAACTGAGATTAGGAGCACTCCCTTTAAGAGTGTGCTCCTAATTTTAGCTTGTTACCTGTATAAAAGGCACTTGGGAGCCAGAAGTCTTGCTGATTGATAGGGGATCAAATACTTATTTCACTCATTAAAATGCAAATCAATTGATAACTTTTTTGAAATGTGGATTTTTTTTTGTTATTCTGTCTCTCACTGTTAAAATAAACCTACCATTAAAATTATAGACTGATCATTTCTTTGTCAGTGGGCAAACGTACAAAATCAGCAGGGGATCAAATATTTTTTTCCTTCACTGTACATATAAAATTAGCTCTCTTTGGTTCTGCAGGGCAGAGAACAAGGTTCATTCATAAGTAAAATATATAGCATCAATATATAAGTATCCCATTAGTTTTATATGGTCTGTATCTATAGTTAATTCCACACATAATTTGTTCTTTAAATTTAAATTTTAAAAGGGAGATAAAATATTCCTATGCCAATTATCACCCTGGAGCAGCCCGGGGCAAGTATGAAAAGCAGCAACTGAAAGTGAAGACTATTGGTATTTTTATTATCTATCAGTTCAAGCACTTAGAGATATAAATGCATAGTAAGAGGATAATAAAGATAGCATGGGAAAGAGTGGAGAGGGAACTCATAATTGAGGTTGCTTAAACAATACAAAATTTCCATGACTTGTAAATGTTGTAGCTCTTAGTGTTTACAACTGGTGACACAGTACATTTTGGGAGGAATTAACCCCAACTATTTATGATGCCATAATTGCATCAAGAATTGCCTTTACACACATGCACCTAATTCTAGAACTACGTTTCTGAGATCCTCGAAACCACACATTAAGCTGAAAAAAATGTTGGTTTAAGCTAGTGTAATGAACAGGAAATGTGAACAAGTTTTTAGTCATACCTTTGCTTAGAATGTTAAGTGAAGCACCACCTGGAATAGGGCTTTCAGGTCCAGACAGTTTCTCATTATCCACAACATCAAAAAGATGAGGGCAGCAAGCATCTTTGCAGGCCAAAGAATGGTAAGATGGTTCCTCCATAGTTCCCCTTTCAAAACCACCTTGTTGGTCATGAAGGAGGCATAATTCTACAAAAGGAATGGTTTGGCTATCTTATTCTCAGGTAACTCAGCTCTCAGCTCCTGCTCGATCCCATAATATGAAGAAAAGCAAATAAATTATCTCTTGATAGTCTAATTAGCATTAAACCATTTTGTTAAACGTGTGAGAGATCTTGCCCATTCATAAAACGTTTATCCAGATGAGCGTAACAAATCAGAAATCACCTATTTAATAAGAGGAATAAAGATGTTCCCTGTGATTACCATCAGGCTGTTTTCACTGGTAGATATGTTCTTCTAGAGTTTACAATAAAGAAACTTCCATCATGCCTCTGGGAAATTAGTCCCATAACATTATGCAGGCTGGACTTGCAATATTTATTTATTTATTTATTTATTCATTCATTCATTCACGTGCATACATCTAATTTCTATTGTATAGTGTCCATTCTATTGTATAGTGTCTCCAGGTGGCAGACAAAGAATTTATATTATAAAATTAATTTATTAATTTAAAATATTAATGTTCGTAACTTTCTCATTGTTTAAACAATGAAACAGAAAGGTTTCTGTCCTTCCTTACACCATGTCCTCAAGACTCTTTCAAAGCTTGAATTAAATGCACCACAGTTAAAGAATAGAGAACAATTTGCTACTTTAGAACAGATGAGTGAAGTATTCAATAAAGAAATGTCCAGGTCATCAGTATATCATTGCAAATTCATGATCAGAATATAAACGTAAATGCTCTATGAACACATGTCTGCACCCTCCTCCTGAATACTGCTACTGCATCACTGAAGGAGGTGCATAGGTAAGATAGCTTTAAGAGTAAGTGACACATTGCAATTGAATTTATAAGTTTGATCTATGTGAAAGCATTTCTATTCCAAATCTTCCTTTCCAGAAACATTAATGCAGATTAAAAAATAAAAAACCTAGTATCATTTATCACATTTGTGACAATGTCACAAATGTTTTAATGCCTATGTGATCTTGCCCAAGAATAAATCATCTCCTTTCCCTACTTCTCTCTTTAACCTATTCATATTATTGTTCCTCTGTGGTATTAACACACTGTGTTTTGAGTTTTTAAGTCAAAAGGCTATATGGACTCTGATTTACAGGAATATTTAAAGCATTCAAAGAACAACATACCCTGTGTGACTGATAAACAAGAGGGAACACTGATACTCCAAAGAAGCAATAAAAAGTAAGTCAAGGCACACATTTGAAAAATATATGAATGTCAAATGTAAGAAGACAATTCAGGAGAGCATGAAAGTTTTACTGTAATTGTTGAGAAAATCTTTTATTGCTCAAACTATAAAAGGAAATTTGAAATTTGAATAGTAATGATATAGCTAAGTATGCCAAGAATATTATTCTAGTATAAAAGAGATGCTGCTACAAGTATTTATCAAGATTGAGAGATAGCATTCATCCTGATATCGGATTAGGAGCTTCCATGATATCCAGTTAGAAAATCAACAACTGAGTAAGAAAAAAAAACATTACAGTGTGACTGTGATAACTCCTTACAACTTATATAATTAAATAAAGAATGCAGCACAGCACTCTAACAATGAATTTTTAAACAGGTATTTTTTTTTAAAAAAAAATGGTCTTCAAATTTATCTAATATGATAAATGGAGTATCAAGGAAGTTGCAAAAGATAAACAAGCTATTTAGATAACTTTGACCTTAATTTGAATGTGGCTATAATTGTGATAAGCAATGAGAAAAATGCTGAAAAATATGTATTGGACATACAAACAAAACTAGTTGATGTTTCATTGCTTAAAAGAAATGCACAATAAATCAAAAAAGAGATATGGTAACTGGATTTTTGCTGATAAGGAAGGAATGATGAGACTTGGATTTTGTTTTTACTTAAGAGATGAGATATGAGGTGAAGAAAGTATATATTGTATCCTAAAGGTTTAAAAGGCAGTGCTCATCACAGATTCTCAGCTAAGAAAGCCTGTTTGTCTGAGACACGCTTCTGTCATCATGTGACCAGTACGAAAATATGGAATGCATTAACCTTTCTCACCAAAGCAGTACCTATTTGTCTACTCACATTTGCATGCTTTTGACTGCTAGGTTGGCAAGAGCTGGGATAAGTAAAATAGAAGCCCGCCCTGTCATTTGGCACTCGGGTCTTAAACCCAGGTTGTTAGCTGCCAAGGCAGTGTTTTAATCTGCTGACCCATCGCACCACCAATGGCTGTACTGTTGTATCCTGGGAGATGTAATACATTGCAAAAATGGTTGTAATGAAAGGAAAAAATTGCTTTTTATATTTTTTTCTTTTTTATTCTTATACTTTTATAGTTTGCATTAGTTTTTATTCCAGTTGTATAAAAAGTACTTTAAAAAATGCTGCCTCCTAACTTCACTGAATGTCAATAGAACTCTTAGCACATTGTATGTCACCTATTTTTGGCACAATTACTTGGATGTTCACTGAAGAAATGGATGAAAATATCTAGATGAGAACATCCTTCCACTACAGGATAGAATAGGGTGATCTTTTCATGCAGAGGAAACCACAGCAAACATTTTCAAGATATTTGTTGTATATCCCAAAAGACAAAAAGCAGCCCCATTCCATTGGAAGTAATGGTGTCCTTGATCACACATGGAAGCTGCAGACTAGTTTAGGAAATGCAAAACAGGCTACGAGACACACAGAGATTTATTCTACAAGAAAAAGAATGGCCAAGGGTCTTGTGAACAAATGCTGATGGTCCAGGAATATTATTCATAAACTCCTCCTTAAACTGATAGTGTCTTGTCTTACTCTGCCTAAGGTAGGCTTAGTCTTGCTGAGCAAAGATGTTGATTTATAAGGTTTCGAAGATAAGATGGCCAAATATTAAAATCCAGCAAACAGAAATTAGAAAAGAAATAGCAATATTGTAAAGGAGGGGAAAAATAATGTGCAATCATTCTTACCTTTAAATATGGTGTAGGCATAGCTTTGAACACATTAATATGTATGCCTTCACTTTTTGTTTTTTTTAGCAGCATTGCCTGTTCTCAATACTATTATGTGATATCCATATTTTAAACATTTCATATACTGAGATAAGAGTATATGCTAAAAGAGGTTGCAGTGGCGCAGTGGCTTAATGACGCTGGAACTGCCGACCAGAAACGGTCTGCACTCCAGCGGTTTGAATCCGGCTCTGTGACATGGAATAAGCTCCCATTGCTTGATCCCTAGCTGCCACTCACCCAGCAATTTGAAAGCATGCAATATTGCAAGTAGATATATGGGTACCACTTCAGTGGGAATAACCTAACTGCATTTGTGTATGCAGAGAGTGGAAGCCAGCACTGGACCTAGTCAGGTGCAAGGCATTGGGACAAGAAGTGAAACGAGATCAGCAGAGGGGTCCAAAAGAGCCAGAGATCCAAGCACTCCTAGTCAGCTGGTGTAAGCTAGTTTGCCCCTCTGCAGTACACTAAGGATAGATGAGCAAGCACTGAACAGAATCAACTAGCAATCTAGACTGTCAGGACATGCCTTGCGTGTGTAGATTTCTCTGACATTGTATGCTACCTCTTTTTCTGGCTACAGTAAAATCTGTAATTTGCAACCAAATAAAATGCTTGAATGCCTTGGTTTACCTTGTGCCTTCATCTTCTCATGTATTATACTCGGTTTCTGACCGTAATACTGATTCAAAACATCTGTAAGCCTTCCCTTTAAAGGAGCACCAACGATGTACTGATATATGGTATATATAAAACTGAATTCAAAATAAAATGTTGGGATAAGAGAACCTCTGCTGATAATCTCGGTCTAATAAAAAGCATGCTCTTTTATGCTGCCCTGAGGAAAAGGAAGGTGAGAATAGCCACATTACTTACCAAATTGACCATTGCGCTTTATATACAATTCTATTACAGCATAAGCAATTGTAGTTGGAGCAGGGATCTCCAATACCACATTAGAGTTCTTGATCACATTCCCATTTTCACTCACTGATACCTAGAGAGAGATTTAATTGCTGGTTAATTTGTGCAAATTAATTCCAAAATGCATTAATTTACACATGAAAGGATGACAATGAGAACATATGTATCTTGGTATTGGAGTCATTGGTGCTCATTACCCAATTAGGCACTGATGATGTTACATAGCTGAATAAGGAAACATCAGCAAGCAAACTACCAAGTTCAGAAAGCACCAAACTTTACATAAATAAATATTTTGGAAGTTTTTTAAAACTAGACAGCTCTCAAATGTATTTTCTTAAGTTTGCCTTTGAGAAATAGGTGGGTTTTTAATTGACAGAAGATAGGTCCACTTCAAGGAATTCTCCTTAATACAAATGGATCTTCTATCCTCAGAGATAGATTTGTGGTGACTTTCAGCTGGAGTGAGCATCTCTATAATTAATTTATTGTGAGATTGTCTACTGCTGACAGAACTGGAGAAAATGATTCAATTATCTTTAGCCTCATCCAGCATTTGGTAACTTTCATTTAAGTTCAAAAACCTTAGCAAGACTTCTTGAAACGATTCTGGGTTAAGTGTATCACACTTCTGAGTATTCTCACCTTATAAAAACTGTACATATTTTTATTCATTCTACCATTTAATAGCAAATAGTCTTAATAGCAAACAGTCTTCAAACTGCATAGAACATTCATTTTTGAAAAGAAATATTAATACTTCAGTTTAATGCAAACAAGTTTATTTGTGCCTGGGAACAAATAAATGCACTTTTTTTCTTTAAAAAAAAGGGGGGGGGGTTCAAAAGCCACAAGGATGTGATCAGCAATGCAATACAAGACTGGAATGGACAGGGATGAAATTTCAACCTTTTCAGAACAGGGATTTAAAGAGCACAAAGGCTATATACATCTTGCTGGCAGATGATATGGAAAAATGCAATAGAACGTTGTAAGAGTTCATCAATATTCTTCCTTATGCATTAATACCTTTATAATTTTTGTACTTATTCCGACCATTCCAGCAAGTTTTTCCTGTTTTTGAATATGTTCTGATACTAAACATTTCTGAGTTGTCAATATTTTTTCTGTAAGGATACAAAGAACATCATTCTTTTTTTCAGCCATTTGTTCCAACAATGGAGTCTGTAGATTTATTGATCTAAAGGAGAGAAAAAACACATTAAAATTACTATGAAAAAAGTTTATTTTTAATAGATGGACATACTATTGTTCTCCCATAATTTGATAAACAATGCAGTCTTTAGTAACAAAGAGCTAGTATACCAATCAGAAAGAGAAAAAAATGTGTTGGATTATTGCATTTGGACACAAGCAGCATATACAAAAAATATCACAGTGATAATACTGGATTTATGACTCAATTAAAAGCTAACATCAGACTTTTCAATACTCTATGAGCCTTCTTCCCAAATGCTCCATATTCAAGTCTTCCCGACATATCTGCATCTTTTTCAAAACAGATATGAAAGTATATTTACCTATCATTGCATTTATATTCATATGGCATACATGAGAGCACTCTAATTATCCTACAACGCAATCCTATGAGGTAGTTTGGGCTGAAATTGAATGACTGGGGCAAAATAAGATTAATAGTTGAATATAATTATGAACACGAGTCTATTCAACTACCTTAGCTTTAATACAAATTAAATCTGGTTATCAGTAGCATTTCCCCAGCAAATTTACGGTATACTAATTCCAGAAACCATAGTTTTCATCATCACCATTTTTTTACTGCTTATTTATTCAATTCCAAGTATCTGTAACACTTTTCAAAACAATTCTTCTTTTTAAACCTCACAAAGATGCCATTTTTAAAGCTGAAGATCTCCCTTTAAAACTCTATCCAGTAAAACTATTTATAGATCCCATAAATGAATAAAATAAATATGTACCTTCCCTTCACAACTTTCATAAGCTTGTGCAAGTCAACTTCTTGCTTTTTAAGATTTCCAAAAGAGGACAGACTTTCCACAACATCGCTTTCTCCAGTTCCTAAATTAATTCTTCCTAATGAAGTTTCTATGCTTCCTCTGATACAGTCTTCAAACTTGCCTTCATACTTCACAAAGTCAGACTCTACAATAACTTGGGACAAAAAGCAACATATTAAATTACAGAACATTAAACTGGAGCACAATATAAATTATTTAAAAAATCAAACACTATTGATAACAAAACATATTGAAACATCTACTGACTTACTTAGTTACTATTTTTCACTGCTCCCTGTATTTAAAAATGTTTATCATCCAATGAATAAAGCAAAGATGGAGAATCTGTGATCCTTCACATGATGCTAAAATAAATGCAGTTTCTTTGAACCAGTGGGTCATGCTAGCAGAGCCTACTGGGAGTTTATCAATGTTGCTTGGGTATCACAAGTTCCCCATCCTTGGAATGTATGGATCTGTATGCTATAAACCTCACAATACTTTGAAAGGATTGGGGTCTTAGAAACGCATCCATGTATGTGGAACTGATATGCAAGTTCTGAGGTTTTGCTGGTTAAAGAAATATAGGAAACCAGAAGGTGCCTTTAAGTTTTACGTTTTTATTCAGCTGAATAGAGACAGACTCCTCTAAATGAGGGGAGCCATGAATGACAAAAAATCTTTGTATTTATTCTGTATAATTACATAAGCAACCCATCCAGCAAAGCTGACACACATAAGATAAAGATTGCACCCAGTAAGTCTGGCACACTGTAGATAAGAAGGGAGAAAGCAGAAGTAGCTAAACATGTTCCCATTCGGGTGTTCCCTAAAGATATCATATGTTCTTGGGTGGGTTAGGACACTGGGTATTGTCCTTGCTATCCTTTCATGATCCTGCATCTAGGACTACAAGTGACCAGAAACAGAGGGGCCATCTGTATATTGATACTGTCCCCTAAGTCCTGGTCAGCAGAACATTTAAAGAATAATAGCAGTCATTCTAAGTAACATTTCTCTGAATTCCACCAGATGTTCTCTATCCACTGTGAAAACGAAATAGTCATAAAATAAGTCTTGCCATGCTTTGCTTGTCAGCCTATTTGTACTTAGTCTATCTATTTATACCACCCCAGAGTCCACCCCTAGTTCTGATGGACTCTGAACAATATAGTGAACGAAGCACAAAATTAAGGACAAAGGAAATAAAACAACTTGATACAAATCTTGCTGGATACTAAAGTCAACTACGTCTAAAAGCACACTGAAATAATGAAGCCAATGAAGAATTAAAGGAGGAATGGGACCAATCATATATTTGAAAGACTAGCACAGAATAGACATTCCTATTCTAAATTTCTTGGGGTCTTGCATTTGTGTTGGGGTAATATGCAGTCCTTTACTCTCAAGCTAATTCTTAATTCTAAGAGGTTACTATATGCTTAATATTCATTTTCTTCTACAACTTAAAAGGCTCATTTAAAAGAATTAAATGAAACTAAAGGTCAGTAAAACAAAGAAAATTTGCAAGAGCTGTTGCCCTGACATGTTTGAAGTAGATTGAGTCACAGAAGCTATAGTAAATCATGCATGGCTTTTCTGAATTCTATTTTAACCATTACTGATATATCATAATAAACCAGCTTTTGAGAATGGGTTGCCCAATTATACAATTATTGTACTGTATGTACACAGTTACAGAGCACTGATTCGCCAATATACAACTTTCTATTCTCCTTTAGTTTCTCACTCCCATGGAATAATACCTGCTACCCTTGAACTCTTTTGTCTTTTTTCTGGACAAGAAAACGTGTTTCCCAACAAAAATAAAATAAAGTAAGGGAAACTAAAATGATGCTAAATTTGTTTGGTGTAATTCCAATTTCCTTTATTTTTACTATAAAAAGTCAGCCAGGGCAGAGAAACTGGTGGCTACTAAAGGAGATGTATATTCATGCCTCGAGGCATCGTGTCTAAGGCATTAACACTAAGCCATGCTTATTGGCAAATTGATGGTGTATATATGTATATTTTTACTCTCCATCTCCTGTTTTATTTTTAAATCTTATTAATAACTGCATTGCTTGTTCACCGGAGCAGAAAGGCATATTATATAGAAAGTAAAATAAGATTCTGGTGTTCTAGGTTTTTCTCCTGGAATATGTCTATCTAACATTGTAGGAATGGTCCGTCATTTTCTAGAATATTCTAGATTAGAAATGGGAAATGATTTGTAGACTACAAGTAGTCATTGACTTCACAATTGACTTTCACAATTGAATCCAAAATTTCTGTTGCTAGATCACATAGTTGTTACAGTAAGTGACTTTTGGCTCATTTTACAATCTTTCTTGCCATGGTTTTTTATTTATTCAGAAAATGTATATAGCTGCTTAACTGCTAACAGTGACTCTAGGCAGCTTGCAAACAATAAAAACACAGTATAAATAAAATAAAAATACTAAAAATAAAATAAAAAAACAACCCCCCATCTCTCGGCGACAACACATGTAGTTAAGTGAATCATTGCAGTTGTTAGTAAGACGTTTGTTAAGTGAATCTGGCTTCCTCATTGACTATGCTTGACAGAAAGTAACAAAAGATGATGACATGACCCCAGGACACTGCAATCATCTTAAATATGAACCAGTTGCCAAGCATCCAAATTTTGATTATATGATTATGGGAATTCTGTAACAGTCCTAAGTGTGAAAAAAAGGTCATAAGTCACTTTTTCAGTGCCCTTGTAACTTCGAATGGTCACTAAAAGAACAGTTGTAAGTCAAGGATGTCCTGTATTCCTAAAATAGCCAATGTGTTATAGGAGAAAAATCAAAATCCACTATTTTACACATTCCTGCTTAATTTAAAAAAAACATAGTTTGCAAACCATAAGGATGAGTTCTTACAGAGCCACACCAAAAATTACATTGTGATTTAGCATGGCGTGAGAACTCAATCAATAAGATGCTGTTAACAGTAGTCAGAGCAAGAGTATATACTCCCCTTCAGTGAAGGAACAAGGTATCAATTTAAAGTCAAAAATCTTTAACATCTTTAAAAACAGCAAATAATGAAGTTCCTCAATGATCCTGAACTGTAATCCACGAATTTGGACACCACCAGATTATATTATATTAATTATAGCAGAATTTTTTTTTTTAAAAAAAAACTAAACTATTAAACGGTTTTTCAAGATATTATGCCTGAATTCAATTTAAATCTATCTACTACATCTCCATGGAGAGAAGGAAGCAGTGGGGTACCACAAGGTTTCATCTTAGGCCCAGTACTCTTCAATATCTTCATAAATGATTTAGATGAGGGAATTGAAGGAGAACTCATCAAATTTGCAGATAATACCAAACTGGCAGGAGTAGCCAATACCCCAAATTCAGGATGTAAAAAGATCTTGACAAACTTGAACAATGGGCCCTATTCAACAACATGAGTTTCAATGTGGAGAAAAACAAAGTTTTACATTTAGGCAGGAAAAATTAAAGGTACAAATAAAGATTGGGTGAGACCAGGCTTAAAAACAGTAACTGTGAGAGGGACCTTGGAGTCCTAGTGGACGATCACTTGACTATGAGCCAGCAGTGTGCAGCAGCAGCCAAAAAAGTTATACAATCCTGGGTTGTATAAAGAGAGGCATAGAATCAAGATCACATGAAGTATTAAGACTGCTTTATAAAACCCTAGTAAGACCACACTTGGAATACTGCAGCCAATTTTGGTCATCATATCACAAAAAAGATGTTGAGAGTTTGGAAAAAAATTCAGAGAAAAGCAACTAAGATGATTAAAGGCCTGGAGACTAAAACATACGAAGAATGACTGAAGGACTTGGGTTTGGCTAGTCTAAAGAAAAGAAGAAATAGGGTTGACATGATAACAGTATTCCAGTATTTGAGAGGCTACTACAAGAAGAGAGGGTCATATTATTCACCAAAGCACCAGAGGGCAGGACAAGGAACAATGGTTGGAAACTGATCAAAGAGAGAAGCAATCTGGAATTAAGGAGAAACTTCCTGACAGTGAGGACAGTTAACCAGTGGAACAGCTTGCCTCCAGAAATTGTGGGCACTCCATCACTGGAGATTTTTAAAAAGAGGCTAGACAGTCACTTGTCTGAGATGATATAAGTCCTCCTGCTTGAGCAGGGGGCTGGACTAGAAGACCTCCAAGGTCCCTTCCAGCTCTATTCCATTCTATTTCCAACTTACTAAAAGCAATGATTTTCTAAATTATAGGTATTAATTTAGCAATATTCAAAAAAATGTTATCACTAATTACTGCTATTCTGAAGGGTCAAAGTGCTTTCTGAATACAAATTGAGACATTCACTAAATGATTAAACTTTAGCACTTATTCTGTAAGTGAACATATTAAGTACTGCAAGTAAGTCATTTTATAGCACATACCCCATAAAATGGTGCAACTTAAATTGAATTATTTTCACCAATCAATGAAACTGTAGAAAGAGTTTCACAATTTAAATTATCTAATAGATCAATCTGAACAATTTTGATTGAAAATGGATTTCAAAAACTTCCAGAAAACCAACAAAAGAGCAAAGTAACATGTAAAGTAATATTGCTGTATCCAACTTTGGAAAAAAAATGATAACTATTTCAACAACAGTAATAAAGCAGGTAATTATACAATAATGCATAGTACTTTGCACTTCCTCTTATCTCCTGTAACAATGTATAACTGTGACTCTACCTGGTTTTATAGGTTCATGCATATCTTCAGCAAGCACATCATTCAATGAAACTGATGAGAGATGGTACTTTGGATTTTGCCAGCACCAAGTTTTCTTTTTCTTTGTGACTAAGTTCAGGAACTGTAATTTATCTAAGTTATTCAGGGATGACACAGAGATTAAGTCTCCTCCACAGTCAACCTCCTTCACAAAAGTCTTGGTTGCTTTTGCAAACATCCTAAGGATAGGAGATATTCAACAAAAATCTGCAGAAACAAAATCAAAATGTGAGAAATACAAATAGTGTGCGGAAGAATGTTCATTTACTAGTAGTCTTTGACTTATTACTTCAGTTGGAACAAATATTTATATTGCTAAGTGAGGCAGTTATTAACAGAGTTGCACTCAATTTTACAACCCTTTTTGCACAGTTGTTAAATGAATCACTGTAGTTAAGTGAATCATCTGGTCATTAAACAAATCCAGCTTTTCCCATTGACTTTGCTTATCAGAAACCATCTGGGAATATCACAAATGATAATCACAGGGCCCTAGTATGCTGCAATTGTCAAAGATTCATGTTGATTACCAAGTGCTCAAATTCTGGTCATGTGAATGCTACAATATTCATATGTGCAAGAACCTGCCATAAGTTACTTTTTTCAGTGCTGTTACAAGTTCAAAGTCAATAAAAATGGTTTTAAGGCAAGGACTATCCTTTAAAATATATGTCTAAAGAAGCTATTGATTTGTACTTATAAGATTTCTACCCAGCCATACCTTGAAATTTTGCTGCCTATTGCTGTAAGAAAACAAAAGAACACTTTATTTTAACCAAAGTAAGGCAGATATATTTAAAAATACAATATTGTAACATCAATTTTATTTTATGTAGGGAGTTGGGGACTGTCTGCAAACATGTCTATGACATTTAAGGCAATGAAAAATGTGATCATATATTTCTTCTGCTTTAAACTCTTTGATTTCTTTTTCATTTAACAGAATAACACCATTCATTTACTCTAGAGACTATAACAGCATATATGTGCAACAGTGGCAGAAGTAAAAAGAAAGCAGCCACAACTAGACATTGTGTTTGTGTAATAAATGTACAGCTGTAGTTGTAAGACAGTAAGAAAAGAATCCAAAGCAACACAACCCTTTTCTGTTTAAATTTAAACTACAATGCTTTAAAGCAGCATTTCTCGTGCTGATAAGAGGAATTTTGGAAGTTGGTCCATATATCTTAAAACTGCTGAAGTTGAGAAACACTAGCCTAAAATAGAAATTTTTGGTGGTTTTAGTTTACCTCACTTGGTACAGCTGTAAGAGTTACAAAAGCTACAAAGAGAGGGAGTATTTTGTAATTCTTGGTACTAATTTGGATAATCGATTTATGACCAGCAATTTATGAGCAGCAGCAGCAACAGCAGCAGCACACCCTCCCCCCCTTCTAATCACACTGAACAGGAAAGTCTTCATGAGGAAGGAGCAAGCGAGACAACGACAGTTCGGGTTCGGAGGGCAAAAGAGGGTGAATCTCGCCTTGGCTCAGCAGCGCTCTGTCCTGATCTCTGAGAGAGAGGCAGAGGGACGCTCTACAAGAAGAGGACAGCAGCATCAAGGGGGTGGAGGTCAAACGCCTGGGACACTGGCTAGACTTGGTACAAGTCTAATCAACACGAAACTTTGACAATTGCAGCATACTAGGGTCCTGTGATTATCATTTGTGATATTCCCAGATGGTTTCTGATAAGCAACAGGAGGAAAATTTAGCCAAGAAAGGACCACGTGGGGTGGGGAGAATAAGTTGACCCCAATGCAGGAAAAAGCGGCTTTCACCTAGAATACCATCTGTACCTCCCTTACGCTTCCCTCTTTTTTTACTCACAATTTCCCAGGATCGACAATAACTCCACTGCGCAAGATCAAGTCCTTCGCAATTGCTGCAGTCCAAGCTCTATTGTTAGGGCCTATCGCTCCAGTCTGCGATGCCTCACTCAACTGTGACCAAGCCTTCTCCTGAATCGCTTTCCGAACTCGGCGCTTTCTTTCTTTCTTTTATTCCCTCGTGACCGGCGGGGAGGAGGTGTGCTCCAAACGAGGGGCGTGGCCAGATGCTGCCTCTGCCAGCGCCGTAACAAATACGAACTGACGGACTCGGCCGTGATGATATAGGAATGAATGAGAGACAACGGTGCCTGCATTCATTTGAAAGCTGCCTAATTAGAACTTGTTTTATTTTCTTGCGTAATAATAAGTTTTGTATTTAGATATGCATGCCTGCTTAAGAAACTACTTAAAGTACATTTCTGTTTAGGTAACTTGAAAAATATTAAGGTCTATATTTCCATGTTTCCAATGAAACATAAAAATACATAAAAACCAAGATGTGGGCGGAATCACGGGGGAGAATATTTCCAACGGCACCCCTTGCACTTTGGTTTATAATCCATAGTTGAGTAAATATTATCAAGACCAGCCAAACTCATAAGCAGAGCTTTTAACTTCCCAGGATTTCATCAGCAAGGTGCTATGAAAATAGAATAAAACTAAAAAATCTAAAAATCAGTCAAAATGTAAATATAAAAAGTGGTTTAGATTTAGTCTGAAAGAATGTAAGGCTACCAGATGTGGGCAAAAAAAATCTATGCAATCAGAGGATGACAAAAGAATTTTTTTGCAGCCCTGATGAATTAGTCACCACCAGATGTGACAAGTGCTATATTATATACATAACATCAAGAAACTAAGAAACTGGTTGATCTTCATTTTTTTCTGTTATACACAAAAGCAGCAGCCTAAATTCTGAAGCTTGGAAACCCATCTGGAACAGATTTTTCTCGTCTTGAGTGCAATTAATCATTTTTGTCTAAATAACATTGCATTCCTTGTGTTAGCAAGCCATGATATAAATTTTAATACTGGGTCAATCCACAGATTACATGGAGCCCACTTAAAAATCAAAGCCCTCTTTAAGTTAGCAATGGATGGATTAAAAGTAAAAAAAACCCATCATGTTTCATGATAAAGTAAAAAATGTATTTGTATCATATTCTCCTAGGAATAACTTGCAACTTTGGCTTTACAGCCTTTACCTGGGACAAAAAAAAACTTAATAGGGTACAATGACTCATGCTCTTTTTTTCTAATTAGACTACCTACTGCAAAGCATTTTACCTGGAGCTGCTTACAAAGACTATTCAGAAACTAGTTAGTCCAGAATTCAATGTCCCAAATGCTAACCAGGTCCCTTCATTAGGAGCACTTTGTACTTATGCTATTGACCTTCCCTCCAAAGGGAAGCTCCCCAAATAATTAGTGCTGCTGCTGCCCAGCTCCCTTTTCTTTCCAGAAGTAGGGCATTAGGAGCAGTTTTTCACTAGGTAACCTAATAGATCAGGCCAGTTGGTACCTATGTACAATCCTAAAGAGCTTTCTAACCAGCACTTTAAATTGCACCTGGAAACCAGCACTTTAAACTGCACCTGGAAAATAACTGATAATCAATGCAAGATCCATAGTGTAGATAAAATAGATAAGACTAACTCAAAAATAAAAACAGAGACCAGTCTGGCTAGAATAGCTTGCCCGCTCTTCAAAATCACTTAAAAGCATGCTGAGAACAAATATTCTGGGGGTCATTCTAGATCTAGCCAGATTGAGCAATCTGCTTTTATTTTTGAGTCTTTTATGTCTTGAGTTGTCATTTTATTGGTTTTTAGTTGTCAGACCTACTGCAAATGTTTTAAATGATTTTTCTTTATATGAGATTTGCTTGTAATGGGATACAAATAATATCACACAGTTGGTTTTCAATATGGTCAAGGGCAAAGTGAGGCATTTTATGCCTCAGTGTTGCAAAATGGCTTGGATATCCTTGTGGATAAATTCATGTGGTTTTACTAATTACATTTCCACACTTTACTGAATGAAATAAAATCCTGGGTAAGGTGATATGTATGTATGTCATAGTTCTAAACAGCAGCAAGTACTGTAATTCACTTTATAATCAATTTAAAATACTGACTCAAATTATGGCAGGATTAAAATATATTTATTTGTCATATAGATATAAATATTTTAATACATTCAATAACATTTAAAATTTCAAACATAAATATTCTCCAGTACTTAGATTACATATATACTGGATTTTTGCTCTTCAGATTCACCCTGTAAAGAAACAAGGCAAATTTTTGAAATGAACACTAAACCCTACAATTTTTACTATAAACTAACATAGACATTCCAACTTTAAAGCAGTTGACATGCTATTGTTCTTAAAACTGAAGTAAATGAAGCCGACATCCAACATTTCTAAATTAGCTGGTACATGGAATAAGAGTATGCAGCATCCAACATTTTTTAAAATGTCCATTCATACATATAGGTAGTCCTTGACTTACAATAGTTCATTCAATGACCATTCAAAATTACAACAGTACTGAAAAAAGTGACTTATGACCATTTTTCACACTTATAACGGATGCAGCATCCCCATGGTCATATGATCAAAATTCAGACACTTGGCAAATGACTCATATTTATGACAGTTACAGTTTCCCAGGATCATGTGAGCACCTTTTGCAACCTTCTGACAAGAAAGTCAATGGGGAAGCCAGATTCACTTAACAACCTTGTTATCTGGGGAAGCCAGATTCACTTAACAACCTTTCTTGTTAACAACTGTAACAAGAAAGATAAAATGGGGCAAAACTCACTTAAATGTTTCTCTTAACAATAGAAAGTTTGGGCTCAATTGTGGTTGTAAGTCAAGGACTACTTTTATATAAAAAAATGCCTGTTTGCTTACCTGAGTGTAGTCTTCAACAATATAACTAAATTGATTGGGGGGAATAATATTCAATCAATTTCATAGTCTAAGATGTAAACTATAATTTTATATAAAGCCTTTAGCTATAAATCTACTTGAAGACCATTCTCACTAGGCACAATATAATTGTTTTGAAGTGTTCTGTAATCAAGTCAGGGCAAAGTTTGAACATTTAGTTAATAATAATAATAATAATAATAATAATAATAATAATAATAATGATGATGATGATGATGATGATAAAGTTGTAAGGGACCTTGGAGGTCATCTAGTCCAACCTCCTGCTCAGGCAGGAAACCCTATACCATTTTGGACAAATGGCTGCCCAGTTTCTTCTTAAAAACTTCCAGTGTTGGCACATTCACTGCTTCTGGAGGCAGGTTGTTCCACTGGTTAATTGTTCTAACTGTCAGGAAGTT